ATATATATATATATATATATATACTATAATATTAGTACGTTAAACTTATATGGTCATCCAGCTATAACAAATAGCGCCTCGATCAATATGGAGGTGGGGGTAAGGGGAATAGTAGTTTAGAGGCTCGACTTTGTAGCGATCCTTCAGCGAAGAGCGGGCCAATAATCTTTGATGATTTACTGGCCCGATCTTCGGTGGCGGAGGACTCGGCGGATCAGTTCTCGGGTTGGTAGGTAAAATCATGGCAGAAATAGCCAGTGGACAAAAAGAGGCTATCTTTGTAAAACTATTACGAAATATGGCTATTTCTTGTAAACAAAATAATGCAAGAAAGATATAAGTAATATTAGTCTTCATTTTGTTTATAATTTGGAATTTTTTGCGTATTAATTCTTTTAGATTAATTTGTTAGGATTTTATAGTATTATAAGGTTTGATTGGAAGACTTCAATTAGTCAAAAAGATAATATGAAAAAAGAAACAATAAAGAAATTTCTTCAATTTCCAAAGAAGTTGCATTCATACACCATTGCAATATTAAGTAAATTATTCACGTGTGACACACCTTTAAGAAAAAAGGAATATAATGGCATAAATTAAAGATTATTTTTTACATTTTTTAAATGTAAAGTAATTTAAAACCCTCGTTAAATGAAGGATAAATAAAAAGGGAAAAAAAATCTCTAACAATTCTCTTATTTTAAATTATGAAAAACGCCTCAATATTTCACTTAGAAAATATGAACATGGTAACGTGACATCATTAGTGGTGGAGCTATAAGCATATAATTTCACCATAAGGTTCATAGAACTCAATAATTTTGCTATAAACCCTATTTTATATTTTCAGATTATATATAAAAATAACTTAATGAAGAATCTAGTGAACTACATTTTCTAGAATACAGTATTCATAAACTCAAAATCCTAACTACGTCTTTGCACACCAACAAATCAAAACTTTGAGTCAACTATAGCGATGATCGTCAATATGGAGACGGTGTGGTAGGTGGTACAATTAGTAATCTTGGCCTAATAGTTGACGCGGCCATTGGTGATGGTGATGGTGGAGAAGGTCTCATCTACTCATAAACACCTAGTAGTGGCCATATTTCTAAATGGCTATTCTGAAAAATGGACATTTCTTGTGGTTGAGTTAAAATTCAAGGTCTCAACTCGTTTTTTTTAAAAAAATTATAGTATCAAATTAAAGTCAGTACCATCATATCTTATTGTTTACCCATTGTTGAGTTCTCAAATTATATTGTCCAAACTTCAAATATTCAGTCTTGAACATTCAGAAATATTGAATTTCACGTCATTGGCGACGATAAAAAAAAGTAATTTATTTATTGTCTTTAATAATTCTCACCTAATGACTTAGCTCTCTGGATAGAATTATTCCTAACGTTCATTTCTTCATTTAAAAAAAATGAGAAAACTTAGAAAACATATATCATAATTTATGTAATTAATTTCTTCTCGTATTCATCTGTTGAAACATTGAATAATGTCTTTAAAGACCGATGAACACTTCAACTTCAAGAAATTAAATTCTTATATATATATATATATTACATCGAGACAGCTCTTTTTTTCTTATATAGTATCTATTTATGTAGTATTTGATCTAGCTTAATTAATTTTAATTCATACTTTCTTAATTGTATTTTAAAAATTCAAACTCGAAAGCTCTATTTGTAGCAGCGTAAATAGAACTTTTTATCTTTGCTAGTATCATTGACTCTCTCCATGGATACATATATTTGTATTATTTTGGAAATTTTTTAATTTTAATTTTTCATTCGATACTCTGAAATTCGATCAATTCAATTTTGCACTACGTAAGGTCTCCGAGGGAGTGTTACCTACCAAGATTTTTTCATACCTGAGATTCAAATCTAAGACATATGATTAAGGGATCGAGGAGCTATATTATTTTGGCATGTAAGGAAAACTTTGCTTCATTTATATATGTAAATAATTAAACCA